CTCCTCTTAGGCATACTGGAGATATCAGGCACCAGGGGTAAAATTTGGTGGCCAATGATCTTTGCTTTGGCTTATAGAATGCTGGCATGAAACATGTTTTAAAGATACTTGGATTAATGGCCCATCTTTAAAAATCAGGAGATATCAGAATAAAGTACAGATTTCCACCTTCTCCAGGGAATCTGAAGCCATGGTAACCATGAGTACAATTGCACTTGGTGACAATCTGTGGGAGGAAAGTAGCGCCTTGGACAGGGCCTACACCCTCTCCTATTTGCCGCAGTCAGCACCATATCCTACTGCCCCAGACCCAGCCCACTTTACATTCATCAATCACTGATGTTACTGTTTGCCCTGTGTAACTTGGGCTGTGACCCCAGCTACATGCTGCTGGTGTTTTATGTGTAAATCTTCTTTGTTTTTTTCTTTTTTTAAAAGAGGTTTTCATTTATTTGAGAGCAAGTGAATGAGCACAAGCAGAATGGGCAGGGGAGGGATGCCTGGACGGCTCAGTCAGGAGTCTCTGCTTCTCTCTCTGTCTCTCATGAATAAATAAAATCCTAAAAAAAAAAAAAAAAAAAAAAAAAAAAAAGGGAAGGGGCACGGGCAGAGGGAGAGGGAGAAGCAGGCTCCTGGCTGAGCAGGAACCTGATGTGGCGCTCAATCCCAGGATCCTGGGATCACAACTGAAGGCAGATGTTTAACTGACTGAGCCACTCAGACATTCCTCATTTTTTTTTTTTTAATGATTGATTTATGAGAAAGAGAGAGAAGGGAGGGAGGGGGAGAGGGAGAGAGAGAGAGAGAGAAAAAACACCTACAGAGGGAAGGGTAGAGGGAGGAGAGAGAATACACAAGCAGATTCCCCAGCTAAGCTTGGAGCCTGACACAGGGCTCAATCCCAGGACACTGAGATCATGACCTGAGTCAAAATCAAGAGTGGACCGCTTTTTTTTTTATTATGTTTTTTTTTTTTAAAGATTTTATTTATTTACTCATGAGCAACACACACACACACACACACACACACACACACACACACACACACACACACACACAGGCAGAGGGAGAAGCAGGCTCCATGCAGGAAGCCCAACGTGGGACTCGATCCCAGGTCTCCAGGATCATGCCCCGGGCTGCAGGCAGCACCAAACCGCTGCGCAAGAGTGGATGGCTTAACCGACTAACCACAACCACCTAGGCGCCTCTCCATATTTTTTCCTATCTATCTATCTATCTATCTATCTATCTATCTATCTATCTATCGATTTTTTAAAACACTTATTTATTCATGAGACACACACACAGAGAGGCAGAGACACAGGCAGAGGGAAAAGCAGGCTCCATGCAGGGAGCCTGATGTGGGACTTGATCCTGGGACTCCAGGATCATGCCCTGAGCCAAAGGTAGACACTCAACCACTAAGCCACCCAGGCATCCCTTTTCCTACGTTTTAAAACATAGGTATAGGGCAGCCCTGGTGGCTCTGTGGTTTGGTGCCGCCTTCAGCCCAGGGCCTGATCCTGGAGACCCAGGATCAAGTCCCACGTCGGGCTCCCTACATGGAGCCTGTTTCTCTCTCTGCCTGTCTCTCTCTCTCATGAATAAATAAATAAAATTAAAAAAAAAAATAAAACATAGGTATATACAGCATCAGTTAAGAAAAAAAAATTTTTTTTAAGTAAACTCTTACCCCCAACTATGTGGGGCTTGAATTCACAACCCTGAGATCAAGTCACATGCTTTACTTACTGAACCAGCCAGGGACCCTAGCATCACTTTTTATAGCTGTACACTATACTAATGTGAGTGTCCCACTCCTGGGCTGTTCACTGCTATACACATTCTTATATGTGAGGTTAAACAAAATTCCATCTTGTCTAATCCATTGCTATTTGGGAGCTTTCCGTAATTCGCAGTCAAATATAGGGATGTTTATTCATTTCTTATTGAATTGTACCACTCTTTACATATTAATATTTATCTGTATCATATATGTATTACAATTTCCCTCAGTTTTTCATAGACCTTTATCTTTTTTTTTTTTTTAAGATTTTATTTATTTATTCATGATAGACACAGAGAGAGAGAGGCAGAGACACAGGCAGAGGGAGAAAGCAGGCTCCATGCAGGGAGCCCGATGTGGGACTTGATCCTGGGTCCCAGGATCACATCCTGGGCCGAAGGCAGGCGCTAAACCGCTGAGCCACCCAGGGATCCTACCTTTATCTTTGTTCATGGTGTCTTTTGTAAAGATGATTTAAGTATTTCTAGTCTGGCCTTGATATAACACTAAGAAGGCTCTTCCCTTCCTAGGGAATGATACAAGTAATTTTCTTTTGCTTTCTTGAAGTACTTCCAAAGCGTTAACTCAGTGCCCCAAAGAACTAATGAAGCTTTCTCTCTCCACTGATAGCCAGTGTGATCTTGAAAACTTAAATTAGGCCAAGTCACCCCACTGTGTAAGCCCTGCAATAGCTCTCACTGTACCCAGTGAGCCCCATGGCCTGGTTGTGCCTGCCTCTATCACTTTCCTCCCCTAGCTCACCACCTGCAAATCACACCAGCCTTCCTTCTGGTTCCTGAACAGGCTGAATTGGTTTGGTTTCCTTGGCCTGTCTTGCTCTTCCTCCTCAGGCATGCCTCTCTGCAAATGCCGCCTCCCAGAGAACCCATCCAGGTCACTCCATCTAAAGGCAGCTTCCCTCCCTCCCCCACTCCAGCTGCACTCTCCTACATAGCACTAACTAGAGGAAGGATCCGTTTCATAGTGTAAACTCCAGGATGATGGGGCTTTTCTGTTCAGTCCTGGCAACACCAAATAGTTAAGAATTGAATTAAATGGGAATTGCAGCAAATGTCTAGATTTTGGAGTGAAGCAACTGTAATATGTAACTGTAATACTAAGTCTTGCCTTTGAGGGAGAAGAGGCTTCTCCACTATCAGGTCATCTTCCCATCCTCAGGGAGAGCTGAGGACTGTCACCAGGCCTCCTTTGGTGTACTTCCTCAGGCCTTTTGTTCACTCCCAGTTAGCAGGATTTTCACTGTTATGCTCAATCTTTTTGGTAGAACAAATCTTGGCACATATTGCATTGCTATCCTCACAGAATTTCTTTTTCTTTTCTTTTTTTTTAAGATTTTATTTATTTATTCATATATATATAGAGAGAGGCAGAAACATAGGCAGAGGGAGAAGCAGGCTCCCTGTAGGGAGCCTGATGCAGGAGTTGATCCCAGGATCCCGGGATCCCAACCCAAACCAAAGGTAGACACTCAACCACTGAGCCACCTAGGTGCCCCTCCTTGTCGAGTTTTGAACTTAAAAAAATTATTTTAACAAGAATTGATACAGTTTCTATTAAAACTTACTTAGGAACAAAGCCTATTTCTCAACCCTCCTGATGTCCTTCAATATAGTTTTATAGTTTTCTTCATATTTGTTAATGGTAATTTCTAAGATATTTTACAATTTTTATTTGCTCTATAATGTGAATGACATTCTGTATATTTATTTTGTATCTAGCCATCTTTCTACTACTTCTAATAGCTTTCCAGTTGATTATTTGGTCTTTTCTCAGGCTGAAAATGATAGATTTGCCTTTCACCATTATATAGTGCTTAGAACAGTGTCTGAAACACAGTGGGTGCCCAATAAACACTGGCATTATGTTCTATTCTTAGTTAACTGAATTGACTAGCAGTTCCAAAACAAAATAGTGGTGATAGTCTTATATTTGATTATTTGGTAATGCATCTATGTACTTCACTATTAAAAACATGCTAAGGACTTATTCTGAAATATCTGGTTTAAAAATAACCATCTCGTGATGTCTGTGTCTCAAGAATAAATAAATAAAATCTTAAAAAAAAAGATATTTGATTTTTTTACTTCTTTTCCCATTTAAAGATCTCATATGGTTAGTTATATTAATAAAGCTTTTTTAGAAAGATTTCATTTATTCATGAAAGACAGAGAGAGAGACACAGACAGAGAGAGACAGAGCGAGGCAGAGGGAGAAGCAGGATCTATGCAGGGAGCCCGAGGCAGGACTTGATCCTGGGACTCCAGGATCACTTCCTGGGCGGAAGGCAGGCACCAAACTGGTGAGCCACTCAGGGATCCCCTATATTAATAAAACTCTTAATACTGAACCATCCCTGCATTTCTGGAACAATCTCACTTTTTTTTTTTTTTTTTAAGATTTTATTTATTTGAGTGAGAGAGAGGGAGAGCACATGCACGCAGAGGGAGAGAAAAAGAATCCCAAGCAGCGCAGAGCCCCATGTGGGGCGCAATTTCATGATCTTGAGATCACTACCTGAGCTGGAACCAAGTCAGAGACACTCAACCAACTGAGGCATCCAGATGCCCCAATGACTTTGGTTGTAGTTTCTATCTGCTGATATTTTAGAGAATTAAAAACCTATATTAAGAAGTTAGAAGGGGGACGCGTAAGTGGCTCAGCGGTTGGGCGGCTGCCTTCAGCTCAGGTTGTGATCCTGGGATCTGGGACTGAGTCCCGCATCAAGCTCCTGCGGGTAGCCTGCTTCTCCCTCTGCCTGTGTCTCTGCCTCTCTTTCTCTGTCTCTCATGAATAAATAAATAAATCTTAAAAAAAAAAAAAAAAGAAGGGTCTGTATTTTTCTTTTTTTTAGGGTTATCTCTGGTTTTGGTGTTAGCGTTATGTTGGCCTTATACAGACATATGTAAAGCTATCTTTTCTTGTCTATGCTCTGGGACTTATTTCAGATGGCACAGAAAAATTTTATTCTAAAGGCCTGAAAGAATTTGACCATAAACTGTTTGGATGTCTGCTTTTGAGGGTGTGTAGCTTTCTGATTATTTTCTCATTTTTATCCTACGCTTATTGGCCCATGTAATTTTCTAACTTTTCATGAGTCATCATGTGTTGTTATGTTTATGTACAATCCCTTTCCTTATGTTATCTGACCAATATTTTCCCCTACAAAGCAACAGGCAGTCATGCATTCACTTACGGTAGGATCGGTCCAGAGAGAGCATCTTGAACACTCCTGGCAAGGGGCTCCTGGTGAGCGAGGATGCTGACAGAAATGGTCATATCCATTGATAGACACTCGACAGAGGTAGCACATCTGGGCACCACAGCGGCAAGACATACGGTTGCAGCCTTCGGATTTGATGAGGCCAGTCCCACACTTGTGGCATTTTCTAATGCGGGCTGCAGTCATTTTTTCTTCACTGAGGAAAGAATACATGAATGGAGATAGCAGGGAAGAGGATGGGAGAGAAAAATACAATGGCCACTAAGTATGTCTTCCCATAGGTGACTGCCTAGCCCTTTTGGTGACATCTGAAGAGTGAAAAGAACCTATGCTTTGGAGTTGAGAAATACATTCTGTTCATTAGTTGTATGACCCTGGGTAAAGTATTCAACTGCCTGGAGACTCAGTTCCCTTATTTTTAAATTAGGAAAGCCCAACTTTCTTCATCATGTTTTGAGGATTATTACAGCTAAGACAGAAAGTACCATGGTTCAGTGCCTGACACCTACCATTTAGGAAATGATTATTGTTTGTTATAGGAGTTCCCGTAGGCTTAAAATGGAGAGAGAAAAAAAAAACTCCTTAATCATGTGTTTTATATATGTGAAACTTGCTAATAAAGAGCTAGTAAGCCTAAACCTTTGCTACATACACACCTTGGATTTTATCCATTAAAAAATTTTTATTTCTTTTAAGAGGTGGAGAGAAAGTGAGGAAGAGGAAGGAGTGGGCATGTCCAGCGTGGAGCCTAACTCAAGACTCAATTTCAAGACCCTGAGATAAGGACCTGAGTTGAAATCAAGAGTTGGACACTTAACCGAATGAGACACCCAGGTGCCCCCTATCACCTTGGATTTTATTACTCAGTGGGAAGTGGGGAGAGACACAGTTGGGGACAACCCAACAGCTTGTTTATACATTCTTCCTGCTGGCAGTGCCCACCTCCATGTCAAAATCCCACATTTCCAGACTCCCTTTTAGCAAGGCTATCGGCATGTCCTCGAGGAGGAGTCAGCCCTGGCCAATGGGAAGCTTGTAGAAAAGCTACTTGTTTGCAGAAGTACTTTAACTGATATGGAGGGGCAGAGGACTAGAGCCGAAAGGACACATCTTGGCTCTTTGCCAAGAGCTGGCACTGCTGAATTAGTTTCTTCTGAAGTGCACTGTTCCTAATTCTAAAATAATACTTGCTACCCTGGCCTATAACTGTTTATGTATCTATCTTCTCTACTTAGTTGAGTTTCTCGAAGTTGTCAAAAAATGCATGCCTATGGAGACTAGGAAAGGCAGGAATGACCCCAATGGTGGAGAAGCCCCCAAACTGGGACTTAACCCACTGTTCTGAGCATGTCTCTTCCTTCCAAGCAGAAACCCAGAGTGGTACCCAGGGAAGTCTTTCCTTGCAAAGACTCAACAGCCTGGGGATGAGTTCTGACCTGCAGGCTCTTTCCTCACACTGGGAAAACAGTCTTCTTCCTCCCACGGCTCCCAGGGTTTCTGCTAAGTAAGGGAAGCCAGGTGAGTCTAGCGTCAGGCAAGTGTTTTTAATTACTGATATTTAGAAGACTGTCAGTTTGCTCCTTAGAAGTTAGATCATGTGCTTAAAAATAGAAATGAATTAGAAAATTGGCTGCTATTCATTTAGGTTTCATTTTTGAATGGCCCAAAATGCAGGAAGGCTCTGGCTTGAAAAGAATTAAAACCCAGTTCAAGTTACAGAAGAACAAATTAGGTCTAAGTTTTGTTGAATAGGAAACATCGTCAAGGAGACAAAGCTTAAATAAAGTGAATTTGTTATTGTCAACTTAATAATATAGCACACATGTTCATGATTTCGGGTTATTCAGCAACTAGGAGGATACTTCTCAATGCTCCCTGTTAAAACTTACAAGGTTCTGAGGCAGAAGTTTCCAGTATTTCCAATATGAAAATCTGTGGCCAAGACACAACTTCAATTTTCTATAGCACAAGTTTTCTGTTTAAGAGCATCTTCAAGATTGATGTGTGACTTTAAGCCATTATGCTTTGGGGGCCTGGAGCTGGCTGACTTTTCTCTGGGTAACTGCTATGGTTATAGTGTGGGAGAGGAGTGGATGAAAACAATCAAGGTTAGGGTGCTGGTGGCTCAGTCAGTTAAGTGTCTAATTCTTGCTCTTGGCTCGGATCTTGATCTCATGGTCATGAGTTTGAGTTCTGCATTTGCTACATTAAAAAAAAAAAAAAAGGAACTAAGGTTACAGAGTCCTTTCCTGAAGGCTTGGGAAGAGGGTGCATTTATTTTCTTGCCCCATTCCACTAAGCTGTCAGTCACCCAAGTAATAAGGGATATGGTAGGGGAGAAAAGGCATTCCTAGAAAAATGGAGGAATACACAAACAGTGTCCACCACTCAACAGTGCTCTAACGTTTAAATAGCTGTTCAACACGGCATTTCCACATTCATAAGACCAGTACTAGGTAGGGCCAGAATGACTCTGTACCAAAAAAATATTGCTTTTATGGATTGTGGTGACCACCTATCCAGTAACACAAAAGTGCAAAATGGGATGAGGAGAAATCAATGGATTCTTTTGGGATAAGTGGTTTGGGAACTAATTTCTAAACTAGGCAGGAAACAAACAACCCCACAGGATGTGTTTCTGGGCAGAACAGGAAGAGAAGCCTGAACTGCAGCTGTGTCTGCTGACCTTGCGTTCAAACAGGAAGGTTCACTGCCCTCGTCCACATAACCATTCTAGATCCTATAGCTCTGTGAGTATTTGTTCTCACCACTGTTTAACTATGTTGGGAATTTCTGTTTGGGAGTGGTCTCCATTTTTTGCGGCATATACTATTCAAAATGTTAGATGGCTATCCTTTGTGAATATATTTAATTGTAGTAAAATGCACATAAAATTTCCATTTTAGCCATTTCAAAGTGTATAATTTAGGGGCATTTAGTATATTTCCAGTAATGTGCAACCATTCACTGCTATCTAGTTCTAGAACATTTTCATCATCCTCAAAGAAAACTCCATACCTTTTAAGCAGTCACTCTCCACATCCCTCCGCCCCTGCAACCCCTAACCTGCCTTCTGTCTCTAATGGACTTGTCTATTCTTTTTTGTTGTTGTTGTCTATTCTTTATATAGGCAAATATCCACATGCCCACAGACCTTTCATATACATGGCACCACACAAGAGGTGGTCTTTTTTTTTGAGAGGTGGCCTTCTGTGCATGGCTTCTTTCACTGAGGTCTCCGAGGTTCGTCTGGGATGCAGCATGGGCTTTCATTCTCTTTTTATCACTGAGTAATATCCCACTCTGCAGTATACTGAACTTTACTGTTCATCAGTTGAAGGACATTTGGGTTGTTTCCTTCTTTGGCTATTGTGAATCGTGCTGCTAGGAACATTCATGGATAGGTTTTTGTTGGAATACCTGCCTTATCTCATACCACTTATTGTGCTGTATTTTATGATTCAGCAACGGTAACTAGCTTATAATACCCTGTGTGTAGTACCCTGCTGTTCCTTATTTTTGACACTTGGCAACTGGCAGGACTCTTTGGCTCTCTGGGCCAGAGAGTAAGGGCTATATCGTGAGGAAAGGAAGTAAAGCCAGTAGAGGACCTTCTCTCTACAAAAAGTAATACCAGATTCCTCTGGACATCTTTGAGATCAGTGCTTCAAAGGTACAGGGGTGCTAATTCTCAACACATCTCATTTTACTTGTTTGGCCTATACAGATAGTGGGTCTTGAAGAACGTTACTGCAAGCCTCATCAGGTGCTGACCCCACTTGCAGCTGCTGTCCAGATGTCATTTCTTACCAGAGCAAATAAATACAGCCTTTGGCAATTGGTATGCAGCCTCTGATCTGGAACATGCTTTCTCTGTCCAAAAACATGGACAACACCAGAAGCAGTTGGCAAGGACCTTGATCATCTATTGTCCAAAAGGACAACACACTGGTCTTCTATTCAAAAGACATGCAGATAAAACCTGGGTGCATATTCATATATATATATATATATTCTATATACAAACTAACAGGTACTCCAAGGATACATTAATATGGTGTGTGCATGCCAGAAGATGGGAGATAAATCCCTTGAAAATAAATCTGTAATCTCTCTGATGCTCTGGTGGTCTGGAGGTCAGATGTGTATATTAGGCTATTCTTTCCAAAGTTAAGCACATGTTACTCTATCTTATATCCCCCACCATGAAGAAAGAAGTCAGACATTTGCGAGGCCTTTCTGGATTTTGGAATTAACATATGATCACACTTGGATGTGCCACTCTGTTCCATTTACTGCTGATACAAAAGGCTGCCAGGTTTAAGTAGGCCCCAGACTAAGACCCTGAATGGAGCGAGTGGCAGGAACTGACAGGATGATCAGGATGGACGTTCTGCTTCAAAAAGTAACCAACTCTTCTCCTGCTAAGAAACCTCTCCTCGCCCATGACCAAGTCCTGGAGTAGTCCAAATGCCTGACCATGGGGCACTGAGAAACGGTTTACAGAGTTGGACAATACTCCATCACCAACTATTCTAAGTAGAATACATATGACTTGAGAAAATCCTAAAGGCAAGAAGTTATCTATTTAAGTGCTTGTGTCATGTTTGTAAATCAGGGCCTTCTGCTTCAACCAACCAACCAACCAACCAACCAACCAACCAACCAACCAACCGTGAATACTTATGGAAGACTTAAGTGGCAAGAATCATTCTGGGCACTTGGGCAGTTTCATCTTCATAATAAGTAGGTAAAGGAATACTCTGTACTTTACAGATGAAGAAACCAAGGCACGGAAAGACTAGGAAATTTGTTCAAGGATCTTAACTGTAGCTATCCATAGTGATCACTCAATAAATCTATACTGAGTTTTATCAATAAGACATCTTTCTAAAAAAAAAAAAAAAAAAAGACATCTTTCTTAGGGGCAAAACAAAGGCTCAGGCGGCAGCAAGAGAAAACCTACACTTCTCCCAAACCAAACCAGATATAACTTGTCCATAGTAACAAGATTAATTTTGGGGGCGGGGGAGATGGCTCATAAACTGGCTGAAAAGACAACTCCAAATGAGAAATTTAGAGTGTTCTTGGCAATAGCATTGAGTGCTAGACTAAGTATATTGCCTGATAAGGTGACTATTTTGAAGAAAGTAATTTTGGACATGTCCATCACTTTAAGGCCATGCCACTGGTCAGGCCGGTGGCTGCTCTAAATTATAAAGGCTGGCTGATGCGGTAAGTCTAGATTTGAGGAAGCAACGCTAGAGTTTTCTAGTTGGAGTGGCATGTATAATTACTATGGATGTCATCGTCATCGTGTTAGTTTCACATTGTTGCCATAAACTTCATCATGGCTGTGAGGTCCCTTTGCCATGTGAGGTAAAGATATTCATAGGTTCTGGGGATCAGGGGCATGTTTCTGCCCACCACAGTCCATCCTCTGGCCTCTAAATTCATATCTACCCTACACCCCTACAGTCACCTCAACCTAGGAACCCAAAGGCCTCAAAACACCATAGAGTCAGCTCTGAGTTCCAGATCTCACTGTCTAAATCAAGTACAGATGAAGACTCTGGATATGACCCCTTCTGAGACATACTTCATCTCCAAAAAGGAAGAAAAGGAGGGAAAAAACGAGTCACCATTTATAATCAATTTAGAAATCCAGCTGGGCAAACTCCCTTGTATTTCAGATCCGAGAATCCTCCTCTGTGGTTATGGTGCTACGGAGTAAGCCCTCCTCTTCTCAAAAAAGGTAGCGTGTTTGCAGCTCAGCAGTTTTTAGTCAACTTGCTTCCTTTCTCTAGAATTCTGGGGATCCAGTGACTTCTTTCCTTTCACACTATGTCTTTCAGCCCAAGCTGGCAGTGTCTCTGGTGATATGAATACTCTCATCCACAGCTGGTTCCTAGACAAGCCCATCTCTACTTTGGACTCCTGCTGAGACGGCTGAGGGGTGATGCCTGAGTTTCCTAGAGGCTCCCTCGTTTAACTAAAGAGATCTGAAGGGTCCTCCCCTTGACCTCCTGATAGGGTTTACATGACTGAAGACTTTGACATTTGGAATACATCCTTGGTCTTCTCTCTAGGAGCATGCTTTTCCTGACAGTTAACATCTTAATCCTGGGGTCTTTTATTACCTGGATGGGATGAAGTTTCAGAAACAACTAAATCCTGTTCTTGCCCCTCAATCTCTCCTTCTGCTCAGTTTCCTCTCACCGGTGCTCAGCCTGCAAGTCTCCTCAGCTACATGTCCAGACCCATCATCTACGCCTTTTGCTTTCTGCACTACAGATGAGCCAGCTAAGTTTCCCGCCACCGAAATAGGAAAATGTTCTGCGCCTATTCCTAAGTCCTCATCAGCAGACCTTCACAGCCACAGCTCCACAAGGAGTCTATACATGGGCATTCAAGTATTCTTCAAGGCAATTTTGGCTTTGCCCATAATGCTCCTCACTTGCTTCTGAGCCTTCAAGGGGGAGGTTTCTAAAGTCCATATTTCTATTAGTTCAAGGCAATCTAGGCTTTTTTCTATCATGCTTTTCAAAGTTTCTCCAGCCTTTACCCATTGCCCAATTTGAAACCCACTTCCACATTTCTAGGTATTTGTTAGAGCAGCATCCCACTCCTGGCCCCTAAATCTGTGTTAGTCTTCTGCTGCTGCTGTAAAAGGCCACAACTTTATTAGCTCAATGTAATATAACTGCATTCTTTTATAGATCTGTAGGTCAGAAGTCCAGCATGGATCTCCTCAAACAAAAATCAAGATGTCATTTGGCTATATCACCTACTCTGGAAGAGAATGTTTGCTACTCCTGTGTCAGCAGAATTGTCTTTAGCGTTGTGGGACCGAGATCCTCGTTTTACTGGCTGCCAAATGAATGTTGCTCATTTGTTAGAAACAGCCACATTCCTTGGCTTAAGGCCTTCTTCCTCCAAAGCCTGCAGCAGGAGGTGGAGTCCTCACCTATTTCTGAGTCTGTCTGTCACTACACCTCTATCTGACCATAGAAAAGTTCTCTGCTTTTAAGGAGTCATGTGATTATATTGGGCTTACCTGGCTAATCCAGGATCATCTCTCCATCTCAAGGTCCACAACCTTAATCACATCTGGAAAGTCCCTTTGGCCATGTAAAGTAACAGACTCACAGATTCCAGATATTAAATTAAGGCAGGGACATCTTAGGGGGTCATTATCCTGCCTATCAAATTTGTGGCAAAGAACACAATCAGAAAACCATTTGTCTAGATTTAAAATGCTGCTATGCTAGTTACTACCTGCATGACCACACACAAATTTCTTGGGCTCTGTGCCTGTTGTATCATTCTGTAAAATGAGGATAATAGTACCTATGGGAAGACTATGAACTACCCATTTCATTCTCTTAGTAACAAAACCCACTCCTCACTCTTTGAATTTAAGCTGGACAGAAAATCACCTGGCAAGAGATTATGCATGGTATCTGCCTTGAAGCTAGGTTGTGGCCACATGACTCAGTGTAGACCAACAGGTAGAAGCAGAAGTCTTTATTTATTTATTTACTCACGAATGAGAGAGAGAGAGAGAGAGAGAGAAAGAGAGATTGAGAGGGGCAGAGACACAGGCAGAGGGAGAAGCAGGCTCCATGCAGGGAGCCCGACGTGGGACTCGATCCCGGGTCTCCAGGATCCGCCCCAGGCGGAAGGCAGGCACTAAACCGCTGAGCCACCCAAGCTGCCCTGAAGCATAAGTCTTCTAATCATACATAGGTGTACGTACACACACACACACACACACACACACACACACACTAACAACTTAAAGGCTGCTTGCTTGGTAGCCTGTCTCTTTCTCCTTTTTTATGGACTGGAGTGTAAATGTGGCTACAACCCAGTCACAGTCATGTTAGACGAGAACACCATCTTAGGGAACGGTGAAGCAATGTGAGAAAGGAACGTGATCTCTGAATGACCTCATGGGAAAGATCTGCCTGGTGAGGCTGGTCTATCATAGGAAAGAAGAATGGCTTCTATATTATTTAAGTCATGTATTCAATGAGTTAATATTTGTAAAGTGCTCAGCCACACAGGGAGTGCTAAACAGTAATGATACTTATTATTACTGACTGCATTATTCTGCATTCTGGAGTCTGTAATTCTGCTTAATGTCTCTGGCCACCAATATCCTATACGAAACATGGATATAAGCAGCATTAGTGCAATCTAATCTACTTAAAATGTGTGACTTGGTTATTCGTTCAGATCATAAGAAGAAGAAGAACTAACATTTATTGAATTCGAATGCTTTAGGCACTGACTGTATTACATCAGACTTCAGGACCAGCTCTACGAGGTTGAAGAGATGAGAAAACAGAAGGGGTTAGGGTCACTTCTGAGGTCATTCTAGATTGGGGTTGGGGTGGCCTCAGAGCTTGGTCCTTCCCACAACACTCACTGCCCCCCTGGCCAAGGAGCAGGCCAATGGGGGAGCTGAGAATCAGTCACAAGCCCCTGAATGAGGTTACTCACATGGAGGTTCGGTACTTGATGTCATCTTTCTCAGCCAGCTCTTCACAGGTAAGGCCATTGTGTTCTTTCCAGAGTCCCTGACACTTCCTACAGGTTTCCTGGGGATAGAGGAGAGACACAAAGCTCCTGGTGAGGAGACACCACAGAAGTTTCTGTTCAACAACAGGAAATGTGAAACGAGTTTCACGTGGCTTGAGTTTTTTTTTTTTTTTTCCTGAGGATGGCTCTCTTTCAGGAGGGCTGTTTCTAAAGATTTCTCTCAAGAGAAAAGGTAAGAATCAGAAGAAAGCATGGGGAAACTTTCTTCTTCTCAGAGCAAAGATTGTGTTGCCCCCATCACCCTATTTGTAGAAGGCCTTCTAAAATGCCAGGAGAGCCACCTGAAAAAAAGCCCACAAAACACAGAACACAGATATATATGATCTTGGGTTTTTAAAAATGGAATACTTTGAGTTGCTTGAGGGCAGGGTCTGTTTGGCCCTCATTAATTTCTGTAATCCCCACAACCAGTAGTCCAGTGTTGGTCAGGCACAGATTACTTCTGTTGAACTGAAGAACGGTCTAGATTAGGATCACTAGGAGTCCTTAAAGAAGACACCCCCTCAGTCAGCCCTTACTCATAAAACACAGTTATCAACCTCCATAGCTTAACATTGTTTATAAGCATAATTTTTTTAAAAGATTTATTTGAGAGAGAGGGAGAGAGAGACAGAGTGCATGAGCAGGAGGAGCAGAGGGAAAGGGAGAGAGAAACTCAGGCAGACTTCATGTTGAGCCAATATGGGGCTTGAACTCATGACCCTGAGATCACAACCTGAGCTGAAAATCTAGAGCCAGAGGCTTAACCAACTGTGTCAGCCAGGTGCCCCTATAAACATGAATTTAAAAAAATTACTACTTTTTATTCTAAGAACTTTCCTTGGGATGCCTGGGTGGCTCAGTGGTTGAGCATCTGTTTCTGACTCAGAGCAGGATCCCGGAGTCCTGTGATTGAGTCCCACATTGGGCTTCCTGCATGGAGCTTGCTTCTCCCTCTGCCTCTCTATCTGTGTCCCTCATGAAGAAATAAATAAAAATTTTTTAAAATATTTTCTTTTTTAAAAAATTTATTATTTTTTTTTAATTTATGATAGAGAGAGAGAGAGAGAGGCAGAGACATAGGCAGAGGGAGAAGCAGGCTCCATGCACCGGGAGCCCGACGTGGGATTCGATCCCGAGTTTCCAGGATCGCGCCCTGGGCCAAAGGCAGGCGCTAAACTGCTGCACCACCCAGGGATCCCGAAATAAATAAAATCTTAAAAAAAAAAGAAAAAAGAAAAAAAGAACCTTCCTTGTTTACAAAATATTCACATGTATTAGAAACTCCATCTATAACAATTTACTTAAAAGATTTTACTTATTGATTTGACAGAGAGAAAGAGCACAAGCAGGGAGATTGGCAGGTAGAGAGAGAGGAAGAAGAAGCAGGCTCCCCGCTCAGCATGAAGCTTGATTCCAGGACCCGGAATCATGACCTGAGCCAAGGCAAAGGCAAACGCTTAACTGACTGAGCCACCCAGGCGTCCCTATAACAAGAATTTAAAGAAACATTAACTCAATTAAATTTCCATAACTGGAAATAACTACCTTAATAAGTACAATGAAGGATAAGATGGTGTTGTCAGCTTTAACTGGGAACCCAATCTATTCTGGGGAGGGAGATGGTGGAGATGGTGAAGGTTTGAGGAAATGGAGTCTGAGTTTTTTTTTAAAAGATTTTATTTATTTATTCATGTGAGAGAGAGAGAGAGAGAGAGAAAGAGAGAGAGAGAGAGAGAGAGAGAGAGGAGGAGGCAGAGACACAGGCAGAGGGAGAAACAGGCTCCATGCAGGGAGCCCAACATGGGACTTGATCCTAGGTCTCCAGGCCACCAGGGCTGCCCAAGTCTGAGTTCTGAAAGATGAGTCAAAGATAGTGAAAGGAGAATCATATTCCAGACAGAGGAAAAGAAAGAGAATACTCTGGCAGATGAAGCTGAGCAAGTGTACTTCCTGTGGCTGAACTGCAGAGAGTGAAGCCTGCAGGGACCAGTCCATCTGATTGCAATCATCAGTCTAGCCCTTGGTATTAAGCATGTCAGGAAGGCCTCAAGAGGAAGTACCATGATCCGATGTGTGGCTTAAAAGATCACAGTGTATGAGGGGCACCTGGGTAGCACAGAATGGTATGCACAGTGTAGACGCTATCAATTCTACAAAACAAGGTGTTGGGAGAATACAGTGATCTATAAAGTCAATTTGAATGGTTACCTAAAAAATTGGTAGGGCTGATTCTCCCAAGTGGGTGGAAGGCAGGGGTGAGACTTCTTCTTTTTTTTTTTTTTTAAGATTTTATTTATTTATTCATGAGACACACAGAGAGAGAGAGAGAGAGAGAGAGAGAGAGAGAGAGAGAGAGAAAGAAGCAGAGACACAGGCAGAGGGAGAAGCAGGCTCCATGTAGGAAGCCCGACGTGGGACTCGATCCCGGGACTCCAGGATCACGCCCTGGGCTGAAGGCAGGCACTAAACCCAGGGATCCCCAGGGGTGAGACTTCTTACTTCAGGCTTTTTTCATCTTTTGAATCTTATACTATATAAATGTACTACCTAACTAAAAAATAAATAAATAACATTGGAAAAGAGAGAGAAATGAAGCAGACTATTTGGGGAGCTGAGAACCTGAACAACCCTTTGGGCAGGCTTCAATCAGTGGAATGGGATGGGTGGGGGTAGAGATGAGCCGATCAGAAATTTGATATTACACACCACTGCTTCCAAGGGATGTGATGTTCTTTGGTCTCCTACCTACATTCCCCATCAGTGAACAGAGGCTAAATCAATAGTGACTTAATTATTACATACCAAAATGTAAAGCAGCCCCAAACCTGTTTTGAAAAGACCTTGCGCCTGACTATTCTGGGAAATTGGAGGATAAACAACAGCTGGAATAGATGATCTGGATCTGGATCTTAAGCTTTTAAACAATACTAATCTAGCCACCCACCAGGAGTAACAGCTTGACAACAATGCATGGCATTTAGTGCCTTTTTTTTTTTTTAAGCATTCCTGGTGATGCATTTATTAATTCATGGGACGTTCTTCATAAGGAAGAATCCATTTTCTAAGTGAGACATGGTCTACTGACAGCAAGATGGCCTGGCCAAATGGAGTCAGTTGTGAGCAAGCGCTTATACAATGACACCACTCACTTCCAAAATCACAGCAGTTCTCCAAGTCCCGGGGTGGATTTTCAGCCACAGTGCTTCTCAGTGAAGGGCTCAGGGGTCCCAGAGAATAAAACGGAAATGTCTTTTGAAGAGACTAACTAGCTAGACATTGAAACCCACAATTAAAATAAGGCAGGAGAATAGAAATCTGGGTAAATTTAACATTTGGAGCTTTCTGTGTTGTTTCTTTAAAACGTACCCCTTCTCTCGTGAACAGTGTGTATTTCACTCAACTGTAATTCTCTCAAGTGCAGCTAGGCTTTGTTCCTAGACTCAACAAATGCTTAAACAACATTACACGGAAGAAACGTTCTTAGACATTTTCAACACAAGGATAATTATATTCTTCAAGATGAGGTTAATGAGAAGATTCTAAGGACCATTTTGGAAGGCAGAGTACACTCTGATGTGCAAACTTCAAAACACGCAGACAAGCATATCCCGGCTATCAGATCTGACTGGCACCCGGATGCAGTCATCAAGGGCTGCTATGGGTCTGGTTCTTCATGGTATCACATAGGGTGTTTTGGTTAAGTTTTATGCTGCCCCTTTAGTCTTCCAGATGCAGCAAGGTGTTTGGACTATTCACTGAGGTCTCAGCTTTGCAATATAAAGAAAACACTCCATAGCCTCCCTTCACACACTTGTGGCTGCTTAAATACTATTTTATGGGTAAGGCAGAAGATTAAGCTTGGTTTCAGATGACCCTGTCAGGGAGCTGTGAGTTCTTCATTTAAACAGCTTCCTCAAAGACCAGCAAACACTGCCCTAGTCATCACCTCGTCTACACAGCTGGGCTTACTGCTGCTGGCAAAACACTCAAGAGAAGATGAAACCAAGAGTCCAAGTCACCAGACTTTGTCCTCCTTGCTCGCCACCCCTCCAGGCCTATTCTGAAGTTACTTGGTTCTCCGTGCACCCTGCATCTTACTTGATGGACTTCTAGTCTTTTTTTTTTTAATTTTTAAAAAATATTGTATTTATTTATTCATAGAGACACAGAATGAGAGAGAGGCAGAGACACAAGCAGAGGGAGAAGCAGGCTCCATGCAGGGAGCCCGATGTGGGACTCGATCCTGGGTCTCCAGGATCATACCTCAGGCTGTAGGCGGCGCTAAACCGCTGCACCACGGGGACTGCCCGATGGACTTCTAGTCTTGTCTAGGAGTGGAACATAGTAGAAACTGCTTACTTGTTTTGAAATGGTTCCTCCAGCAAAAATTCTAGATCCATGGTCCAGGGTAGAGAAGTTGCTGATCTAGATATGGGGCATGAGGCTGCAGCTGATTCAAACAGAATCTCTGAAACTCAAGCTCTCTGCTTTGCCATCTCAGGCACTCCAAAAATGGGTGGGGCTATAAACCTCAAACCCCTTAAAGCAAAAGATGAGGCCCGGGTACCTGACTATTCACAAATGCTGAGCAAACTCCAGGAGTCACAGGGCCATGTGCATTCAGACCACGTATGTCTCTCAGTTGTCAAGGTATTCAGTTCTTCCTCACCTCTAGGTCCAAATGACACATGGACACCAACTAAGAGCAAGAGACCGAGTTTAAGACAGGAACAAAGACCACAAGACTGACGCTGGAACCCTTGGGAACCAATAAAACTGGGCAAACTCAAAGGTTAGTAGAATTGGGGCCTTTCCTTCCTTTAAAGAAATCCAAGAACTTCTATTTTTCCCAGGGCAAGGATGCACACAGTCTCTTGAGGAAGTCAGAGAAGTGAGCAACCCACATGGAGCAGCACAGTGGAGTTAAGTGTAATAGTGCACACACAAGGAAGATAGCAGAGAGGGGGAGGAGCTAAGTAAGACAAGGGTTCTTTGAGGAGTTGGCATCTTCGTGGGA